ACGCTATCCAATTGACTGTCGAGTCAGTACAAGGGAAAGATGAACAGACAGTATGGTATGCATACATACTGAGTGAAGAAGACGACGATCAACCGTGTGACACCGGCAGGCGCACATAAGCTCGATAGTGCCCAACTAATACAGCCACTGATATCATTGCTTCTGCAGTACACGGGCATATGCACATGCCCGCACATCCTAGTGAGATATAGTACGGATTCATCTGAAACAATGCTGGTTTGTATTGAGGATCTGGTATATCTTTGCATTACATATCCTGTTGGTTTTATGCGGATTTTATACCTTACTTATACAGCCTTGGTATGCATATTGAATGTATACGGTATCTAAACTAGATGCTAATTGGGTATGGGTATATTCCAGACTAGAATTTGAAGTCTTGCCCGAGTCAATATGCTTATTTACATATATACGTAGATTGTTGGTTCTTCATAAAAAACGGTTCAATGGACTCGTGTCTCCACCGATCAATGTCATTGGTGTGCTGATCAGTGGGCGTACTGCCGGCAGGGAATATCTTCATGAAGACATTGTGAATAAGGGAGTGTTGATTCATCAGGATGAGCTTATTATAGTAGCTTCTTCGATCTGCGCAGTCTACTTCACTTGGACAAGACAGCGTGCTATCTACTCTGCAGCATCCAAGGCGATGGACATAAGACTCGTACGCAACGCCATCCATGCTTCGCTACAATGATTCGCGATGCAATTACCGGAATAGTGTACGAGATCATCTTCGAAACCACGTCTAGTGAGAATCAAAACGCCACATGGCACATACACGGGGAGTGATCAATAGGAAAGGTGAAAAGCCAGGTTAGGGATCAGCAGGGATACCCTTGTTGAAGTCCTGATAAGGAACTGATTTGAAGAACTTCTGTGTGTGTATGTGTGTTGGGCTGGGAGAGTGCGCGCAAGGGGACTCTTTGGGTAGTTAAGAGGCAAAGTAGGCAAAATAACAAGGAGAATGAAAAAAACGAAAAGAGGAGACAGGATGGATATTCCCCAGGGCAGAAAACAAGCGCCGGGCCAAAGCAAATGGCAAGTAGAAAAGATTCCAGGCAAAAATGGCACAGAGCATCATCGACACCCAAAGGTCGCAATATTTCTCACACCAACCCTTGCGAGTCTCTGCGATACTATAAACCGACAATCGGGCCAACGATCTCATCGTCCTCCTTCGTCTCCAATCTATGTCCTTGCACTAGAAGACCCGTCGCGCACTCTCTTTCTCTCGGTCATTCCATCCGTCCTGAGGACGCGTGTCCATCAACAAGGTCTTTTTAGGTGTTAATCATTTACTCGGCAGCGGGCTTCTCGGCCTCGGCGGCCGGGGCCTCCTCCTTCTTCTCAGCAGGGGCAGCGCTCTCGGAAGCGGGCTCAGCCTCGGACGAGGTCCAGAGGGTCTAGTGGGAAATGCGGGTCAGCGTATGAAAGATTTGAATCAGCGGATGATTCAAGTACTTACCAGGTTGTCACGGAGAAGCTGCATGATGAGAGTAGAGTCCTTGTAGCTCTCCTCGCTCAGGGTGTCGAGCTCTGTAGACAAATATTAGCTTTGGCCAATGTACACGGCAGAATCTGCAATTTAACATACCAGCAATGGCATCATCAAAGGCAAGCTTGGCGAGGTGGCAAGCCTGGTCGGGGGAGTTCAGGATTTCGTAGTAGAAGACTGAGAAGTTGAGGGCAAGTCCGAGACGAATGGGGTGGGTAGGGGCAAGGTCAGTGGAGGCGATCTCGGTGGCAGCCTTGTAGGCCTCCAGAGAGTAGTCGGCAGCACCCTTGCGGCGGTCGCCAATGGCAAACTCAGCAAGGTAGCGGTGGTAGTCACCCTTCATCTTGTGGTAGAAGACCTTGGACTCGCCGCTCTGGGCGGACTTGATGAGGTGCTGGTCCAGGACATCGAGGATATCGTCGCAGATCTTGGCAAGCTCGGCCTCGATCTTTTGGCGGTACTCCTTGATGAGAGTGACCTGGGACTCGTTGCCCTTGGACTCCTCCTTCTGCTCAATGGAGGTGACGATTCTCCACGAGGCACGGCGGGCACCAATGACGTTCTTATAGGCAACAGACAGGAGATTACGCTCCTCAACGGTGAGCTCAACATCCGCCGAGGCAACGACCTTCATGTTCTCAACCATCTCTGTGTCGCATTGTCAGAGATCCGTGAAACTAAATCTAAATTTAAGAGAAACCAACCTTCATAGCGCTCGGCCTGCTCAGCGAGCTTGGCGAGGTAAACAGCGTCTTCGTGACCCATTGTGAATGTGTGTTTTCTACAGTCCGAACTATGTTAGCCAATTGCCTTTTTTTTCTCACATGGGTTTCCATTCTCAGATTGATGACGTTTGGAGATGAGGGTTGAAAATCACGCCATGGGACAGTGCAAGTAGGCGATGGCGAGGGGTAGATGTCGACCCTCGACCCCCCTCCAAATATACAGGGAACGACCCATTTGAGTTTCCATGAGTATCATGTAGAACGTCTCTTGACTCAAAATATTGGGACCAGAAAACTTGAGACCCCAAAGACCTGGCCGATCATGACGATCGTGGCGGTTACAGGGCCCTTGGGTCTTCCCGTGTATCGTTGGGGGGGTATCGCAGGAAAGCGGTCGCGGCAACGGCTCAACGAGTAAACAAGGAGCCGAGAACATGTGGTTTCCACCGTGAATTGTGGCGCGATTCCATGATTTGAATTTTGGGGGGTGGAATCGTAGTTTTCAGGTGGTCTCTTTTCCACCATGGATTGTTGATATGTGTGGGTTTTGCGGTGATGACGGGGGGATGGGCATAGAAATAGGGCGAGGAAAGGGCAAATTCAACAGGGGAAACGACAGGAAGACACTGACCTGGTTTGTGAAAAAAAGAAAAAGAAGGTGATTAAGGAATAGCAAGATGGAAGATGGAAGTGAGAGAGTAGGGAGTTGAGAGAGGAGGTAGGAGGAAAGGAGGGGGGCAGAAGGCGGTGTTGGGATTTACCTGAACAACCCACTTCTTTTGGGCTTTGTGTTTTTTTTTTATGAAATATAAAAAAAAGAGAACAAGTTCAAGTGACCTCAAGTTCTATTTTCTTCTAATAATTTTATTTTCTATATAAAAAAGCGATCGAATATATTACTTTTTTGCCATATACTATACACAAATCTTCTCTCATCGCTTCTGTGTGGTTCGGTGGGCCTCCTGCAGCGTCATCCCCCATTCCGCATCCGCCAATCGCTCGGGGCTTCCTTACTTGCGCCTCATTCGAGATCACAAAAGGCAGACAGGATGGGTTCGAAACAGCCTAGAACGAATTGGTATACAGGGTAGAGGCTCTACTCTCAGACTATCCGTCTCGTAAAAATCCAAAAGAAAGGAGGGGAAAAAAGGAGTCACCTGCAGTAGATTAATGATGTGACCATCCCTGTGATGTGATTCAAGTAGTTGAAGTACAATCGTATACAAGCCCTGCCCAAGAAGTCGAATGAGAAGCCCCCGACTTATCAGAAATTTTTGTTCACATGACCTGGATTCTGACATAAGCTTGTTTCTTCCGAATGCCATCACCTGATGTTCCTTGGCATGTAACGTCATTTGCTATAAGCTTCCCAGGTTGCCTTACTTTAGTTCTCCTCGTACTTTGTAACTTCATCCCGAGCTCACTTCACAATCTCACAATCCCTCTAATATTCAAATCATCAACATGCTTCGCCAATTTGCCCGTCCTGCCGCTACTGCCAACCGGGCAGTCTTCACCCGCTCCTTCTCGGTAGCTGCCCCTCGTATGGGCGAAGGTGACACTGGTTCTCCCCGCCCTAGCGGTGGTAGCTCTTCCGGGTAAGTGACATGCAAGTTTGCTGCGACACTTACACTTGAAGTTCGATGGCAACGAGCAGACAGCCCTATGTCTGCCTTACCGCAGTTGCATGACATCATATCGGTATAATCGCTAACATCTGTCCCTCTTACCAGTGACGCATTCACCAAGCGCGAGGCTGCCCAAGAGAGCCTTTACATCCGTGAGAAGGAGCTTGAGAAGTAAGTCTTGTAGATCGGAGAAAATCCCGAGGTCAGGTCGGAGCGGCCAGCTAATTGGTTTGACAGGCTTGCTCAGCTAAAGAAGAAGATTAGCGAGCAGCGCAAGCACTTGGATGAGCTAGAGACCCACATGTAAGTGCAAGCCGACAAATACCCTCCTGTCTATTTCCCTTTCTGGTGAGTGTGAATGGCATGGCTGACTGGCTTCCTCTTTAGTGATGGCTTGAGCCGCTAGACTCCATGCACCCATTTTATCTTATGTTGAATATGAAGAGCTACTCCAACTGCTGTGTATAATACCAATCTCCGCTCCAACGAGCTATCTTGCCTGCCTGCATACTGCCTTGGGATCGTACTGTTTCCAGCCCCTGTTCCTAAACAAGACATCTCTACCATACATAGCATATGGAGTTTCTCTGCTATCGTGTGTACAGTGCTCAGTAGCTCGCTTGGAGGTTTCATTGGGAAAACTCAGCACATGAGACAGTGTTCAAATTTGTAGGCTTGATATACTACATATATATTCGTGGTCTTTGCTCAAGCGCAAGGCATTTCGTTTTTTTTCTGTGGATGATGTTTATAATTTTAGGAGGACCTCAACGAACCCGTCAGACCGTCCTGCAGTGAGTGTTTATGGCAGACCAGGTGTATATGTACCTAAACATTGTACCCATGTAGGTATTCGGCCCAGCCCAAACGGGGTTTGGGGCCGCACGGGTGTTCTTTTCTTCGCTTCTTTTACTTCAAATGGATGCCCTGGCTTTATCAGAAGGGGTTCGATACAAAAAGAAGCGAAGGAAAGAAAACTCTCATGCGTTGGACCGACTACAAGAATGTGTATATAAGTTGTAGGTTGCCAACAGTATCCACATAAACAAAGCGGGACCGTCTAGCTACACTGAGGCTCCTTCCATCTTACCCGGACTAAGCCCTCGACACCTGGGCAAATACCTCTCCATGACTCTCCTTAGCCTACCGAATGAGCTTCTGCTAGCCATAGCAGAGACCCAAGACTGCCAAAAAGACATAAATGCATTTGCAAGGACCAGTCGCCGCTGTTTTACCCTCCTGAACCCCTTCCTCTATGCCTACAACGTCCGACAGCACCAAGGGAGCGCACTCCATTGGGCAGCAAGACAGGGACAACTAAGAACAGCCCAAGAATCCCTCCGACAAGGAACGGAAATCGAGTTGAGGGACAGGAAAACAAGAAAACTGCCACTGATACAGTCTGTTCACTGTGGCCATGCAGATATTGTTGCGTTGCTGTTGGCACATGGAGCCGACCCGCACGCCAAAGGCGATGGGAGGCCCGACGACCCAATCAGATCAGCTGTGCTCCGCAACAAAGCAGCCGTCGCTAGAGTTTTGCTTGATAACGGCATCGATGCGAATTTGACGGGCTACAGGGGCAGTCTATTGCATCTTGCGGCTCGCAACAACCGCGAGGCAGTGGCGAGAGTTCTTATTGAGAAAGGTGCCAACATTGAATCTATTTATTGCGGCGAGACTCCATTGCAAGTGGCGTGTAAGGCTGGCTCCGTGGAAGTGGCTCGGTGTCTAATAGAAAGCGGTGCCCGTTTGGACACGCGGGGTCGGCATGGAAGTTCGCTCCTGCATATGGCAACCAATGAAGTCAAGACCGTGAAGTTGTTGGTGGAGAAAGGAGCCGATATTGAGGTGAAAGATGAGCAAGGTGAGACACCACTGCATCTGGCATGCTGGAATGGCCGGGTGGAAACAGCAGCCTTCTTGTTGGATCAGGGTGCAGATATAGAGGCAAGGTCGTTAACTGGGAAAACACCATTGCTGCGGGGGCTACTCTGGGAGTGCACTGTATGCATGCAACTGAAGCCGGCCTCTGTGACCACTCTCTTGCTAGAACGAGGTGCCGATCCAAGCCGGGGAACTGATTCCAACATCACACCATTACATTGTGCGACGTCGAAAGCAAGCACAGGGCTTTTCAAGCTATTGCTACAATATGGCGCCGACGTAGAGGCAAAGACTAGGCTGGGTTTGACGCCGCTGCACAACTTAGCGGAGTCTGGCTCCTTAGAGTCTGCAAAGCATTTGTTGCAGAAAGGCGCTGATGCACAACCAAGGGACGGAGAAGGCAATACACCATTGCACTTGGCAGCGCGGAGAAGCGACGTGGAATTCGTCGGGTTACTGCTAGAGGCAGGCGCTGACCGGCTGGCCAAGAATCGCAAGGGTCAATTGCCTGTACACCTAGCATCAGAAGGAGCACGGAAATCAGAAGGAAGACAGAGAAAGGTGATAGATCTTCTGGAGCCTCAGTCCGATCATCAGCATTAGCATACAATGAGCATCCGAGAAGAATTTGTCAATCCTATTGCATTGGATTCTACAAACGTGCAATGTGTTACGTGCAAAGTGTTAATCACAAAGCGCATGCAAGCAATTTATTGTGACCGACTATTAGCATTCCCTGACTACAACAGAACATTTCCCAAAGCACGTCGAGGTGCCAAGTAGCCGATAACTCCGAGTTCAAATCATTAGAAAAAGCCATCCGCCCATTTACCGCCCTTGCATGAACGAGCGGTAGAAATCATCAGCGGTGTTGTTGTTGCCCATACCATTGCTAGGATAGCCGTATCCGAGACGGGCAGAGATCGATTGGCCTGCTTTTTGGGCGGCGGTAACCTTGGACTGCAGATCCGAGGTGCCTTGGTCGATGACCTGCAGCTGGGACAGGTGTGCGTTGAGAATACGGACAATTTGCGAAATCTATAGAGATACGTAAGCCAAAAAATCCCCCACCACAAGGCATGAATACTAGTTTGTAGCTTACTGGCTCATCTGCCTTGTTGGTCTTGGTCAATGTGGATGAAGCAGCGTTGACCTCTTCAATCATGCTGGTAAGGTCCTTGCCCATTTCGTCCAAGCGTTCCGAGAGCTTCTCGGCCAGTTTGTAACTAATGGCCATATTAGCAACCATAAATATCAGATGCTTTGTCGCGCATTATACTTACGTTGTCTCACGCTCCTGGTCCGGTCCTTGGAGGGACTCTCCAGGGCCCACCTGCTTGGTAACCATCTCGTCGACTTCGCGCTCGTATCGATCCAGCCATGAGCTGAGCTCATCCTGTTGACCTTCAACCGCTGACAATTGGCGTTCAACCTCCTGGGTAGCTCGATCCGCATCAACAGTGCTGCCGTACAGCTTCTGAACTTTGGTACCGTTATCCACCAGCAAACGGTCCCATTCGGAAACCTTCTCCGCCTGCTCGCGGAAGTCCTTTTGATATTTGCCGAGATCTGTAGCCCATCGGGTGATGATCTCATCCATGGTTTTGTTCTTCAGACGTGACTGGGCTGGAGGAGCGGGCCCTGTAGTAGACTGGCCAAGGGCGGCGGGCCCAGCTGGAGCAGCGCCGGTAGCGGTTGTAGTCGGAGCAGTAGTCGTTTTATTACCGAGGCCACCAAGGGGTGCTGAAGTGGTGGTGGTCGCTGGCTGACTCGAAGGTGTAGTAGCAGCTTGGCCGAACAAGCCGCCCGTAGGTGCAGCAGCTGTAGTAGTAGCAGGCGCGGCAGTGGCCGCAGTAGCTGGAGTAGTGGAGGGAGCCGAGGCCCCAAACAGGCCTCCTCCAAGAGGGGCTGTTGCCGGAGTAGTGGAGGGAGCAGCTGTGGATGTGGCACTTCCGGTGGAAGGGAAAAGAGACTTTTGGGGGGTAGCACTCGACGTGGCGGGGGCTCCGAGGGAGGGAGTTGTGTTTGGTGTGGAGGCAGGAGCGCCGAGTGTCGGGAATGCAGACTTCGAAGCGGAGTCGCTGCCGGGAGCAGCCGTATTGTTCGACAAAGACGGTGCTGCGCCGAAGAGTGATTTAGGAGTGGTCTCTGCAGCAGTTGTAGGAGCGGTTGACTCGGCCGGCTTGTTTGCACCGAATAGACCGCCGCTGGGAGCAGCAGCGGTTGCGCCACCTCCAAACAGCGACTTGGTTGCTCCTCCTCCAAACATATTGTTAGATGGCTGCGCCTGTGAGGTAGCAGGCGTGGTAGACGACGGCGCTGCGGTGGGGGTAGTCGAGTCTGCTGGTTTCGCGGCCCCGAACAAGCTGCTGGGTGGGTTGGATGCAGGCGGGGGACCAGCAGGGGTGGTGGAGTTATTGCCAAACAAATTGGCTCCCGCGGGAGCTGGGGTAGCCGTTGGGGCCGCGTTGCCGAACAAGCTCTTTGTGCCTGCGCCACCAAACAGTGCGTTGCTGGCTGGTGTGGTCGATTCTGTAGACTTGTTGGGAGTCTGGTTGCTGGCAGCGGCGCCGAAGAGTGAGTTGGGCTGCGTGCCAGTTCCGGATGGAGCCTTGCCGCCGAAGCTGAAGGCCGAGGTACCGCCGGTGGTCGCATTGGAAGCGCCTGCATTACCGAAAGTTGGTGTGCTTTGGCCACTTGCAGAGTTTGCTCCAAACAACGACGGCTGTGCACTGTTGCCCGCGGACGAAGCTCCAACATTACCGAAGAGGCCACCACTAGACGCATTGCTATCCTTGTTGGCGCCGAAAGTATTCCCCGCTGTGCTGAAAAGACTTCCACCAGAGGCGCCAGTAGTGGCGGGGGTCCCGAAAGAGAACGACATGGTGTTGGTGATCGAGCTTGAGGAATGGGAGGGAAAAAGCTGGACGGAGAGAAAGCGCCAGCGACACACGGAGCAGGGGAGGTGGGCCTGCAGAACGGATCAAAAGATCCAACAATGAGGGAATGGAGCTCTTGATCGAATAGATTGAGACAAAGAGCCTAAGTGTGGAATGAGAAAGGACAAGGACGTCGAGACAATAGACAATAATAATTGGAAGGAGTTTGGCAAGCATTGGCGCCTCGAATACAAGGCATAAATGGTGCCTGAATAAAGTGGCCAACTTATTGATAACTGGTGCCTAAGGCAGCTGTGTTCTGGACTCACATCGATCGCAGGGAAACAAGTACCGTCACTGCACACTACACACGGCCCATTGCATTTTGAATTATTCATTTCTGTGTGCCCCTTCTTTCATGTTAACACCCTGAACTCAAGCTGCAATCATGTCGGAGGGGCTGTCCGATTTGTCTAGTTCGCATCTAGAGCCCCCCAACAGGACTACCGAAATGCAAGATCCGGGAGCTGGTGACCATAGTAAATGACCCTTGGATACACTTGAATATTTGTTTGCAACTGACATCCTTTCTAGCAGCTTCTGAAAGTGACGATGAACATTTCTCAGACGCCAGTGAAGGCAATCCCCAACTCCAGTCACTCCCACAATCCGGTCGCACTTCCCCTGTCCCGCGGACTCGAGTCGAGAGGGTTGACAGCAGCGCCCAATACGGCGAGATCCCCGGCACAACAGCATTCGAAAAAAGAGAACAGGATGCAGTCCCCGACGAGATCGAGGTTATTCCAGAAGGCTCACATAGCCAGACGCGTTCGCCCGCGGGGTCAGACCAAAGCTTGAGTCCCGAAGGCTTGCCGATTCCGCGCACAGTGGTTGAGAAGGTGGACCCAGATGAACCTAGCCATGGCGAAGTCCCCGGCACATTGGCACATGAACAGCGTCTCGCCGATGCTGTGCCCGACGTGGTGACCAAGGCTTCAGATTCCGATAGCAGCCCAACGCCACCAACTCTCGACTCTACACCTCCTGATGTTGATGGCTCTACAGCAGACATTCCCGAGACACGGCTCGAGCGAGTGGATACAATAGCCACCGAGGAAGACCTGTCGCCACACCCACAGGCTCATACAAGCTCAACAAGTGACACATTACCCGATACGGTGCAGACCGTCCCGGATGTCTCAATAGACGATACAGACCTAAAAACCAAAGAACTCTCATTGGAGGATGACATGAACGACGACCACGGATATGAAAAGCAAGAAGCGGGTGATGATTTTGATGAATTTGTAGAAGAGCAGGAAGACATGGGAGATGATGATTTTGGAGATTTCGACGATGGCTTCCAAGGACCAAGTGCAGAGGAAGCTCCCGCAGACGAAACTGCAACACCTCGACAATCCCAAGCACCTCCACCTCTTACTGACTTCGACACATTTAAATCCACCTCCGAACTCCTCGATTCCCTTCAAGACACCCTCAACATCCTCTTTCCCGAATCCCAAGACATAAGCTCTCTCACTCCCGTCGAGCCAATCCCAGACTCCGCAGCAATCTTCAGCACCGAGCGATCCCTCTCACTATGGTCCCAGCTCGTGGCACCACCACCCCTCCAGCCCCAAAACTGGGTGAAATCCCGTATCCGCCGACTATTCCTCGTATCCCTGGGCGTGCCCGTTGATTTGGATGAGATCCTCCCAGCCTCCAAACAGAAAAAGCTAGTTCTCCCTTCTATTGATCTTGAAGGAACCGGCGCAAAGAGCCCCGGCGCTCGCTCCGGAAGTCAAGTCCGCAAAGAAGAAGGCAACGACAACAACACCGAAAAGGGGCAAGCCCCCTCCCGCCAGAAGGCTACTCCCCGCCGCGGCGCACCACCGGCGCCGGAAATAGATCTCTCGGCAGTCCGCCGGTTGTGCGCCACTACCGATGCTGCACTGAATGGTCTCACAGATTCAGAGTTGAAGCTACATATCGAGGAACTAAACCAGTTTGCCCAGCGCGCTAGTTCCGTATTGGAGTACTGGCTGAAGCGGCGGGATGGCTTGGTTGGTGAAAAAGAGGCTTTCGAGGGTGTTATTGAGAACCTCGTTAGTCATGTTAGGAGAGTCAGAAAGTAGTCTTTCCCTACTCCGAACACTTGGTGTACTATCTAAATGCCTAATATAATATACTTTGTATAATCTAACGTCGATACCAGAGACACTGATATATCTGGAATATATGCAAGCAAGTTCTTGGTCTACACTATTGGAGAGCTAAGGCAGGATCCTATTTTAGGTAAAACTGGGCTTGTCCATGGAGTTTCAGCATGAAGCCTTGGGTTCAAAAATTGATATTTTTTTCCTTTCATTTTTAAGTTTTCACTTTGTCCATGACATCTTGAGATAAACGAAGAGAAAATCCGGACGCAGCCGTAAGACCCAGTCCTCCCAACGCCAGCAATGACAGATCATGAGAGAACATGGAAGATATGCATCTGAAGAGCACGTAATAAGGGGTATCTTTCTTTTCAAATGCATGCAAAGATAAACGAAAGACATCGGAAGGCCAGAGGCGTTAGAAGAGTACAAGAAATGAAGAAATTCGTTGGAAGGCCCGATGAATTCATTAGTCCAATTCAATGACCGTATGTTCTTGGGTGCGAACAGCCGGGCTGTGGCTACCACTAGGCACATCGCTCTTGGTGCGCACGGCAACAGAGCCCAAAGAGCCTTCAGCCTTGCGCTTTGGAGAGAAGGGTCTGTCTGCCCCGGGTGAGGTGTCATCGGTGTCGTACTTGGCGGTCCAGGTTCCATCAACTTTAATCTGGATTGCTCTAATCCCATCAAGTCGGTTAGTACGGGCAAGCTCGGTGTGGACCTCGACAAGGAACTGATCGACGACCAAGAACTGGGGGCGTGCGTCTCCCTTGCAGATCGGACAGCGCCAGTTATCGACCATCGGTGTCGGGCCGGATACGGACTTCCTGGTTCTTATAAAAGTGTCACGGTCGAAGCATTCGTGGTGGTTGCAGTGGCGCGAGCGAACGGGGACATCGAAGATGCGTGCCATGAAGGGGTCCACTAGGTCGATTGTGAGGTTGTCGGTGACGACTGCCAGGTCATCATCGTCGGTGATGGTAGAGAGACGCTTTTTGATTGCTGCACGAGAGTCGGCGGCTGAGACGGATTGGATCAGGCTGAGTATCTGGTCGAACTCGGCGACCTCCATGACTTCCACCCCAAAGAAGTATCTGGAGGTCTTGCACTCATCCTGTGCTAAGATCATATCGAGCCGTACGCTGTTTTCGCCTGCTTTGAGGTACTCGGTGATGTCCAAAGGCAGGTCTTTTCCGTTGTAAACCTTTCGGCGCACATAGAGCTCTGTGCCGTTCACAGTAATGTAAAAGACACTGGGCCAGAAAGTGCCCGCGGTAGACCAGGTCTGCTCCGTCACAGTGTCCAGATTGCCAGGAAGACGAATGCATCGCAGGCGAGTAGTCCGGCAACCGGGCCTAAATGTCCAAATTGAATATTGGCCGTCGTTCCCGTGAGCTACATGTGGGAACTTTTGCCACTCATCATGCGTAAAAGAGAAATTCCACTTGTAGATCGGCTGGTCAACGTCGACGACAATTGGGCGTATAACGAAGGTATTGAGATAGGTAAACAAATCAGTCTCAATGTCGTTGCCATCTGAACTCTGTTTTACCAGCTTCTTCATAGGATCGCGGAGGTCGACCAGATGTAGGCCGAGACGCGTTGGATTTGGGTTCACCATCATGGGTGCTCTGTAGCCAGGTAACGGGAGGAAGGTAGAGTTAGGTAAAGGCTGGAAATACGGTCCCTGTAGAGGCTGTCGCTGAGGAGGATGTCCCTGAGGAGGCGCACATGTGCTCGGCGAAGCAGACGACTGCGAAGTCATCGAATGCTGTCGGTTGTGATGGTTATTAGGCCTTTGTGGTGGCAGCGGGTGCTGGGCCATATGGTATGTTGTAGTCGGCGTCGTGAATATGGGCGATGGAGCATGGAGTGACTGCGCTGACTGAGCAGAAGTGAGAGCACTCGATTGGAGGGAGGTGGTGGAGGGGTTAGCAGGCCTTACTGAAGTCGTAGGCATCATTGTTTGACGCTGCATTTGTTGGCCATGGGAACCTGGCAGTGATTGGTGCCTCCGAGAAGGTGGTCCCTGTCCAAGCTGTGCCTGCATGTGCATTTGCATCTGTGGGTTCATCTGTGGGTTCATATGCGGAATCATATTTGAATTCACGGGATACCACGGTCCTGTTCCTGGTCCCTGTCCCTGTCCTTGCCCCTGTGAAATGGGGTTGTGAGAAGGAGACTGTGGGTTATTCTGCGTTTCTGAGTTAGCGCCAAATTGATAGGACCAAGCAGCTGGACCAACAACCTGGCCCTGGGGCAAATTTGCGGGGAAATGCTGTCGAGCTGCAGCAAGTGGGCTTGCAGCAGGTGAATTTGTGGCAGGTCGACTGACACCAGCAACCGAAGATCTGGGATGGGATGACGGTCCTAGTGGGGCAGCTTGAGACATGGCTTGATTCTGAGGTCTGGGAGGTCGTGCAGGGTGAGAGGAAGATGGTGTTTGTAATTCGGACGAACGTGGGAAGTTGAGATACGCTTGGGAAAATTTCCAGTTGAGAGCCTGCAGGGTCGTCTCGGAAGTTTCAGATTCCTTACACTGCTGGAAAGCTTCTAAATCTTTCCAAAACAACTCCAGAAGGGGTTCGATGTCATTGTCGTGGTGAAGGCGCCGTGCGACACACGTGAACATCACCGACATCAAAATCGGAGATGGACAAGCAAATGCTTGCGAAAGGTGAGACACCAACGGGGGGTGATGAGACTGAAGAGAGTAAAGCCAGACGCCATGCCATTCAGTTGCAAGCCGTGATAAAAATTCAGGAACACCGGACAACACCTGGAGGTACCAGATGCTCTGCATCAACTGCTGTGGAGATGCTGGGAAATGGGCGAACCCAATGACGGCGGCATCATGCATCTTTCCATTGTCTTCCAGAAGAGGAATAAGTGATCGCATGCCCGACTCAGGGGCTCTAATTTGACCCAATGTACTTGGATCAATGCTATATCGACAGTACAATTGATGCATCACCAGATAGAAAGCGTCCTTACGAGTAATGGCATTGCGCAATAACTGGATCCGGGGCCGAGTAATAGTTGTGTCCCTCAAGCGAGCAGGAGGCAGTGCTCCCTTTGCAGACAAATCGTTTACCAAGGCATCCAATCGACCAGACCATTGCTCCCATACCTCATTGGCGATGGCCGCCCCAGCTCCCCCATTCTGCGGACTAGGTCGTGACCCCGACACTATGTGTTCTTCCGTGCTATGGCCTGTTCGTGTTCCTGTGATCGAGGGCGAGTTTGTGGACCAGTTGGGTTCCATTATAGGGAACTGGGTCACGCTTCGTGACGTGGCGAGCCCGCTAGGAGGTTGGACCTCCATGCGATCATCATTGCCACGCTGTGCCGTGAGTTGTGTAGAGACTGGTGGCAGTGTGGAAGGTCGATTTGAGACGATCGCATTGCCGTTCACGGGACTTGGGTGAGAATTTGTACTGGGAACGGGCGAGGGAAGAGCCGTCGCTCGAGTATCGGGTTTTTTTGCCGTATGTGCCGTATGAACAGGTCCACGTGAGGGAGGTTGGTTAAGGGTCTCACCAGGCGTAACGGGGGACATTAAGACAGCCTCGTGCGGAAGGGAGTCGGGAGGGACTGTAAGGTCGACCCCAACGCGAGGATTTCGCGTAGCGGAGTTCTCTGGGGCGTTAGTCTGTGGACCCATCCAGTTCCTCCGCACGCCGCCTAAAAACAGATTGGCAGTAGCGTTGGAGTCTTCAATATGATCAGCACTAGCGTGCGATCGACATTTAGGCGATACCATGACGATCGAGTAGTTGAAAGCATCAGGATTATTTTGTCAAGTCCGTTTGATAAAGGGCGCTTACAAAAATGTTTGAACAAAGAATCCTAGACTCTTTTAGCGCTGAGATACCGTAATACGAATAGATCCATGCAGAGTGAAAGCATAATAGACGCAGGTACTGGGAAACTCTCTGAAATAGTTATCATTATATTGATGTATCATAATAACCAGTTATCCCTGTAGATCCTTCCTAGATCTAATTGCTAAATAAAAGAGTTGTAATAAATATGATCTATATTGGGTACATAGGCTTGGGCAAGAATGGCCGGGTTCATCTGCATATAAGCAGTGTATGTACTCTGTATGAAAACGGAATACTGAATTCAAGTTATGTTGCTAATTACCATTCAGGCTAGTAATTATTAAATGTAATTATCTGTAATTATATGTAATAACTGAAAGTTGTGCCACCCCTCAGCTCAACATCTCTGTCAACCACGGAAAGCGAGTCCAGACTTCTTACAATTTGCACACGTCACTTTCGCCTTTTCTTCTTTGCAATTTTTGGTATATTCTGGTATTATACTCGTGTATTCCTTTTTTTGATATTTGTGTGTCTTTTCCCAATACCATATCAAATATTCTTGAACATCATTTCTTTCTGGTATGATTTATATCGTGTTTGCACAGATATAATCCTTCCTGCAAAGAAAAGATACCAAGCTACCATCCCGAGTTCGGGATCCTTGGAGGTTCGTGCCCCCGAGCCCCGCGAGTTGTTTAACCTAATCCTCTCTAATCTCTATCTCTCTCTTTAGATTTCTCACATTCTCTCCCCTTTTTACCTTCTGTGAAACCACATTACGCTCTCCCAGAGGGATACGCGATTGCAATCTGCAATTTGCACTTAAGGCCATGTCTTGTGTTTTCTCTTGACTAGAAACTCGGAATATTGAGAGATGGTTACCATGGGCCCACCACAGGGTGTTCGTCCCGGGGACATTCTGGAGGTTCTTCGTAAGTGACGTCGTGTGCGACACCTCGATTTCTGAGACTCCCGCTTGTCAGGATGCGCCCAGCTTCTAACACTCCAAACTAGATGAATTTGGCGGGCGCGGAGAAGATGAACTGATCATGTCACCCCGCGACAACATTGAATTAATCGAGTTGGATGAAGGATTTGGAGATGCCTGGTATTACGGCAAAAATCTTAGGACGGGACAAACTGGTCTCTTCCCTGCGAGTATGCGCGCCCCCTCCCCAAGGCCCCTTCACCACCCCCGACTGTTCCCCCAGCTAATATTTGTGCGCGACAGACTTTACCAAAGCGGGCTCCCCAAGAAAGACTCTCGATGAGTCGCCAGTACTTGTAGAGTCGCCAACACAATTGGAATCCTCCCCGCCCGCAGATTCATCGTTCGCATCAGTCGGGAGTGGGCAGAGCACCCCTCAAGCATCGCGCCGCGTTAGCTCCAACGATATGCAGTCACCGCAAGTCGGTTCTCCCACACAGAATCGATCCGCCTCGTCTCCGCTGCCTCGTCCAAGCCTGGCGGCCGATATTCAGCAAGCCTTTCGTGGTTCGATGGATAATCATGTGAACGGCGAAGAAAGTCCGGTCATGAATGAGACCTTGAGCGTCATTGACGAGCACATCACGGATATGAACACCCCACGTCACAGCGTGTCGACCCAAGAACACAGGACGATCAATGATTCCGGCAGCGAGTACAGCAGCCATATCGGCCACAGGGCTTCTTATATCAATGGACATGAAACCGACGACGAGGAGCAGAGTCATCCAACCGAGCAAGAGGTGCGAAAATGGAGTCATACACAGACTGCAAGATGCTTGCGCGGGCTCGGCATCGATCCAAAACACTGTGACATCTTTGAAGAACAAGAGATCACCGGTGATGTGCTTCTTGATATGGATCAAGATTTTATTTTTATGAAGGAATTCGATTTTGGAGTCATGGGCAAGCGGCTCAAGACCTGGCACAAGATCAAGGCATTCCAAGAAGAGACCAAAGGCTTCAGTCAGCAACAAGCCCGGAAAGACTCCATCTCCTCCTTCTCAGGACCTTCTGATGAACGTGCATTGTCTCGCGCTGGACACACCGGTCCACTTCTTCCTCGGATTCCGACCTTGTCAGAAAAGAACGGCGCTGGTTATCCACGAGCCTCCGCGCCGGTGCAACACCCCCGACTCACTAGCAACAACAGCTCGCCCATGACACCGCATACCCCTCCCTACAGCCATGATTCACCGAGGAGAATTTCTGCGGCATCGCTCCGTGATCTCAACCAAGCACGTCGTCATTCTTCCATTGACGCCACCCAACGCGGCATGTCCGATTCGGTTGTCGCTGGTCACCATCAAAAGAAACCTTCATTCGATCGGTCCTGGACTCTGAATTCCGGCCCCCAATCCATGCCCACTCGCCCAGGAACTTCCGCGGGAGCTAGTCCGGGTGGCTTACAGAGTGGAGCGCTGACCGCCGAGTCAGATTCTTACACCAATTCCTATATCAGCACCCCGGATCAGATTGAGGACCTAGATCGGGGTTATTTCTCAGGAACCGAAGTCGACTCGCGCCGAACCCGCCGCGTTCTACAGAAACGGGGGTCCGCGGGTGTCAACATAAACAATCACTCGCGAAAGTCAAGCTATGCAGAAGATGCATATAGAGTGATGTCCCCGGCGAAGCGTCACTCTCGCATTGGCAGTGTGGACTCGATCCGTGAAGCAGCGAATCATGTCTCCCCGGCTGCCCAGGCCTATCACGGCACCCCACCGAAGAGTCGAATGCGGAGCTTGAGCACGCGCGTCTCGACCGATAGAAGTGGGAACAACTCTGTATCGTCAACCACCGAGAGCAAGCCTAGTAACAGTGCTGGGTTCTTCGCCAACTTTTCTCGGGTCAACAAAGCTGATTCTGAAAGCTCTTCTTCTCGCGCTTCGCCGTTGCAATTCCAGCCACTGAAGAACGCTGGGCCCAAATTCCGCCGAGCCATGGGCCTTCGTGCCATATCCGATGTGGTTGGAAAGAAGATTGACACATCTGCGTCTCCTGACTCGCCGCAGGAGTCCGATCCTACCTCCGCTCGCACCGGGTCCACAACTCCATCAGCGACATCCAAGAGCTCGGAACGGCATAGTACAGATGGGTCTGGTAAGGCCGCCACTGATGGACACGGATTTGTGGTGCGTCCTCGGACGGTCAAGTCCAAGAAGGAGACTAGTGCCTATACTCGGGGTCTTGAGAAGAAGACGCCGCTTGAACAGATGGTTGGTTGTGATTACAGTGGATGGATGAAGAAGAGATCTTCCAACTTGATGACCACCTGGAAGCCCCGTCTGTTCGTATTACGCGGTCGTCGTCTGTCCTATTACTATTCCGAGGACGATACCGAGGAAAGAGGCTTGATCGACATCACCGCTCACCGTGTCCTGCGAGCGGATCAAGATCCGATTATCGCTCTGCACGCAACCATCACTGGTTCAACCGCGTTGCCAGCCAATGCTAACAACACCGTGGAGACTCCTGGCGGCACAAAGCTCACCACTCCCTCGGTCATTCAATCACTGACCACTAAGGACGGCAATGGGCCGTTCTTCTTCAAGCTGGTGCCCCCAAAGTCAGGCAACTCGCGCACTGTGCAGTTCACAAAGCCGGCCACCCACTACTTCCAGGTCGACAATGTCCAGCAGGGTCGTCTGTGGATGGCAGCGTTGATGAAGGCGACCATCGAGCGTGATCTGGGACAGGCAGTGGAATCTACCAACAAGCAAAAGACTATTAGTCTGAAACAAGCCCGGCTGATGAACCAGCGGCCGCCGGAGCTGATGCCTGCTTCGGGCAGCACCAACACCGCGCAGACCATCGATGAGGAAGAGGAAGAGGCAGGTCTCCAACTCGAGGGCTTGAACCTTAGTCAGTCTGATGCCAACTCGTTCGAGGGCACGAACGGCAGTCTAGGCATTAACAACACGGACGGAGGCCTCGAACGACCTCTCTCTAACCCCCTTGGAGACTTGGACAATGGCCACTCGTCCTTGCTTCCGGATCCTCTGGCCAAAACAGAATCTAAGTGAATATTTATTGGGCCCCTATTATTTGTGTGTGACCTTGCTTGGAATTATTTGAAGGACACCTTTTGGCCATTCTTGTTTTCTTTCTTTTTGCTGGCGTTTGATGTGATATACCCCTCGCTCAGACTTCTTCCCTTTGTTGACTCGGGCCAATTTCGTCATTGCAGGTATGTTGGTCGCCGGGGGATTTATGTGGGAGTATGTGATTAACTTGCTTATGGACACGAAGTTGACTGGAGCTGGGCATTCTCCCCTATGCTAACTAATTGCGTCTGCAAACGTAGATACTATGATAATTTATACCAACCATGGCTATTTGCTTCTATTCATCACTCTATAGTGCTCACCGCTAATAATACCGCCAACTTTTACTCCTGGCAGTATATGGCCACCATCCTACCGACGTTGTATATGAACAGCTTACTTTAAATATTCTTGATATTACGATAGTCAATACTTGCTGAGATTGTTTACAATGAGTCTATTATAAATTGTCCTGTCCTTTTTGTCTTGCGTAGTCCAACCCTACGGCCGGTGTCACCGTATATATGTGCCCTATCTTTATCGATTAGCGATGTCCGCACCTTTGTTTCTTCTCCTTTCCACCATTCGAGACGACTCTTTTCAGTATGCTGTATAGGTCTTTATAATATTATTCTTCTTCTGTCATTTTAGATCCCTCATGTCCCTCCGCTGGCTGCTCTCCCGCATCTTTGCGCTCCTTCTTCCACTCACAGTAACCGCCACTGTTTACCTCTATCTCTACCCAGTCTTCAACGGATGCGCCTTTCCTCTACCACACTCTCTCTCGCAGCCAAGGGAGAAGCAGTTATACCATAATTCAGTGATCAACACGCTTTTCCAACACCTCGGCGTTTCAACCTCAGACACAAACAGTCAACCCGCCGTCTTTAGACTCCTGGTCCTCGCAGACCCCCAATTGGAAGGCGACTCCTCGCTCCCTTTCCCCGAATATGAATTATACCCCCGCATGCAGACGCATTGGCGCGCCGTCCAGGAAGCAATCGGCAATACCTCTACTTCACCTCTACTGAACGAGGACGTCCTCTCAAACATCACAAGCGGTCTTCAAACCCTCGCAACCGAAGACATCCCACGCGCCTTCAAGTCAAGCGTGAAACGCCTCGACCTCTTCGGCAACGACTACTACCTCGCGCATATCTACCGGACGCTCTTTTGGTGGACCCGGCCGACGCACACAACGGTGCTAGGCGACTTGTTGGGGAGCCAGTGGATCTCCGACGACGAATTCGCCTGGCGGGGACATCGGTACTGGAACCGCGTGTTCTCCGGCGGAGAGCGGGTCGACGACAACATCACCAGAACCGGTGGTGCAGGTTGGAGCCAGGGTGAAGGCAGCAATGCGCCACCACTGGAAATCCTGGGCGCGGATCGGGCCTGGGCTAGGCGTGTGATCAATGTCGCGGGAAACCATGATATTGGATATGCGGGGGACATCAGCGAGGCGCGGATGGAGCGTTTTGAGCGTGTTTTTGGCCGTGCGAATTGGGATGTGCGATTTGAACACCCGCCCATCGTGTCCTCGTCTGCGTCTTCGTCTACCGGAGACCAGCTTATTACTCCTACTCTACACCTGATTAACCTCAATTCCCTCATGTTCGATACCCCTGCGCTTTCTGCGGAGATCCAGCGCCATACGTATTCTTATCTGAACGAGCTGATCGCCGATCGACTCTCGCCGGTCGAGGACCGGTCGGCTTTTACTTTGCTTCTGACACATCTACCCCTGCACAAGGAAGATGGGGTGTGCACGGACGGGCCGTATTTCTCATTCCGCGATTCAGACGACAAGGATGGTCCGGACGGTGTGCCCCGGTGGCTTGACGGTGGTCTCAAGGAGCAGAACCACCTCAGCGATACACTCAGCGCTAGCGGTGTCCTGCAAGGCGTCTTTGGGTTGAGCGGCGATGAGAATGCGCTTGCTGGTGGCCAGGGCCGGAACGGGCTCATTCTTACGGGGCATGACCACACAGGCTGTGATGTTGTTCATTTCGTCAACCGCACTGAACCCCCCGACGACGACGGTTTGTCGCAAGCTTGGAAGTGGGGTGCGAAGCGCTTCAATGAGAACCAGCACATTGATGACCCTTCTATCCGAGAAGTGACCCTCCGCTCGATGATGGGAGAGTTTGGTGGTAATGCCGGTCTCCTTTCGGCATGGTTTGACGAGGCCGCCGGCGAGTGGAGCTACGAGATCACCATGTGTCCAGCTGGTGTGCAGCATATCTGGTGGGTGGTTCATATCCTCGTGCTAGTAACGCTGGGTGCGGCTCTACTTTGGTTCTTATCTAGCGGTGCTCAGGCGAAGACGGCTCCTCGGAAAGTTGAGTCAGTACAGAAGACTCAGAATGGACAGAAGAATTGATTGGGTTGTAGATATGTTTTTTATTGTATCAATAGCATTGGATAGAAAGAGCAGTTGCATTTGGACGCATATTGCAAAATATATATTTTCACACAACGGTATCAACCAGGCATAGAACTATATGACGTGACCTTAGAAGTTGTACAGTTGTGCATGTACGGAGTAGAGAGAAGTACGTAGGAAGAGTCTACCAAGGGTACATGAAGGGTTTACGTAGAGCCACTGGTGGTCATATCAGAGTTCATATATCGGCCAAAGAACAAACAACCAGGACCAAGTCCCCTCCCATACAGCTTGCCTAAGACCTTTAGGTCAACCCTCGAGGTAACGGGCAAGGGGTTGCAAAACGATGTGATTTTAAGAGTAATACTTCCGAGAGTCGCCAGCGAAGGGAGGGAGAAAAGACGAAGATGGAGGATAAAACCGGCTTTAAAATAAAAACAGTTGGATTTCGTCAAATGGACACCACCTGTCCAGCTCCCATTTTAATCCTATGGTCTCATATGCACCGCATTCCAGGTCCCAAGCAGATTTGAGGTTTGGTATCGTTCTTTTTCTTTAAAATTCGGGTTTTCTCTCTTTACATAACGACACCGGAGTTGGAGGCAATACGCTGGAAAAGAAGTGTCAGTTCAGGGTCCAAGATGTGAAAATGGAAAGGAATCCATTTCCATGTGGAGCGTATAACGTACGGGCCAGAGCTCAGCAGCTTCCTTTCCGACGGGACCGGTGATGGCGGAACCCTTCATCTCACCCTTGGCGTTGACGATAACTCCTGCGTTGTCCTCGAAGTACAGGAAGATACCGTCGGGGCGGCGCCAGGGCTTGCTCTGGCGGACAACGACGGCGGGCATAACCTTCTTGCGGAGCTCGGGCTTTCCCTTTTTGACGGTGGCCATGACCATGTCTCCGACACCGGCAGCGGGGAGACGGTTCAGGCGGGCACCGATACCCTTGACGGAGATGATGTACAGGTTGCGAGCACCGGAGTTGTCGCAGCAGTTCATCACGGCGCCACTGTTTGACGAAAAGGGACCCGTTAGTGAATTGTTCTAGATTTTGAAGACGTGTTTCGAATGCTGAAAGCGGAGATCCAATTTCCTTTCCTTTCTTCCCGCCGATCTTTTCATTTTGTTGCATGGCGTATGTTTTGCTGGGGACGTTTTGATCGACTGGAAATGACTTGTGGGATCCGGCGGGCAAGAAAGGCGCATTCGAAACAGACTAGACGATAAGAAATTTGTAGACGTACACAGGCAGACCGAGAGTCATCTTGAGCTTGTTGCCGGCGGCACCGCCACGACTGTTCAATTATTAGCCATCTCCTTCTTGTCGATTCGTTCTTTTCCCAATCCGAGCCCCATTCTATCCTCTCGACACAAACGTGTTGTGTTGCTTGTCCATGCTTGCAAAATAATTCTGTATCGGTTCGGAATCGAATGGGGCCACGGATGGAATCGCTGGGAGACTCACCCTCTCTTAGACATGATGGCTGATGATCACGGGGGAAGTTGGGTGAAAAAGGTTGGCGACAAGAGGTCGAACGTCAAGGATCCAAACTGGAGGTGTGCTTTCTCGCTTAGTGGGCAAAGTGCGTAAAATCTTGGCGTTGGCAGGTGATTGGCCGCCTAGCTCCATCGACTTTGCCCTAATGCTAACCCCATTTGGGATAGTAAAAAAATTTAATGCCTGAGGCATTAATCACATACTTCTAGGGTTCAAACGTCGTGATGTTTTTTGGAAGATTGCATTTCACTGAATAATACATTTGCAATGTTAAAAATTAGACGAAAAAGAAATGCAGATAGCACAGGGATGAAGGTGAAATATGAAATGATCCATTGAAAGTCCATAAAAGCAACCCGTCATCCCCCGAAACATTTCAAGGTAAAACCTCGATTTGAGTCCGCCGTTCCGCCACGAGTAATGCCCTCCCGTGTCAAGCAAGATGCTAGCACGCTGTTAAACCGATAACACCTTTCTGCCATTGTCCGTTGCGCCAGATCCGATATTGTCGTCTTTGCATCACAGCCGATTACTCCTCTTTCTTGGGTTCTGCCATGGGTTCCAAGTTCTCTTCCTTGGTCGCCGTTGCCTCGGCATCCGCAGTAGGAGCAGAAGCTTCGGCACTCTTCTCGAGGGTAGAATCGGCAGCCTCTTTCGGAGGGGACTGGGCCCGCACAGGGGAGGCAGCAGAGCCCCCGATCAGAGATTTCTCCTCAATAGTTGACGCTTGAGCCGGAGCCTGTTCCGAGGTAGTAGATTCAGCGACAGCAGCAGCGTCCTCCATGGCAGTATCTTCATCATGAGGGTGGGGAGACTGATGTTGAGAGGCAGTGGAGGCTTCCTGTTCCTCGCTTTCCATAGCCATCTTATCAGCATCAGTCATGGGGGTTTCATCAGCGTGCGAAGCTTCCGGGCCGACCAAAGGCACCTCGGGTTCAGTGCGTGGGGCATCGGCCATCTTAGCATCAAGGGCGAAATCCATTTCCCCATCAGCCGCAGACGAGCCATCTTGCGGGGTTGCCATGCCACTATCCAGCCCAGAGTCCGGCTCGAGGTTTCGGTAGTTGACTTGGTTGCGACGGCGCATGGCGCCTGGTTGGCGATGGACACCGTTGGCGGCGTTTTCGTCTTCGTCCTCGCTATCACTGAGCTCGCCAGCCTTTTCGGTGCGCTGGTCGAATCGTCGTTGTGTGAACCGCTTGTCTTTGTTCTCATCCTCATCGAGGTCATCCATAACGTCATCAGCCTCGTCGTCCATGCCATCCAAGATGGGGTTCCGCGGGACATCCGTCATTTGAACCGAAGGAGCAAATGCCGTGCGCTTGAGGTTTTCGACGACCTGGTTTCGAATCTTGTCCAGGTATTCTCTGGTGTTGGCGTTGTCCATGTTGGAGGGGCGGACATCAAGCTGATAATCAGGAGCGAAGTACTAATGCAGTTAGTATGAGTTAGCCTGGAAGAAACAAGAATCTTACCTCATAGTAGTCGTTGTATGGCAGCTCTGATCCCAAGGGCTCTCCGACAAGGATACCGGTCTCATAAGCCCATGTCCGTGCAACGTTGCGCATGGTGTAACCACCACCGCCAAGAACCAAGGTTGGCAGATCAAAGCTCTTGACGAAGTTAACACAGTTGGCGTGTCCTCGCATACTCAGGTTAAAGCAGCCCAAGCGATCACCAGATAGACTGTCACCACCGCACTGAAGGACTACGGCCTCGGGGCGGTACCACTCCATCACGCTCTTAATAACGGGCTCAAAAATGCTCTTGTATGTGACATCAGTGATGCCATCTCGGAGAGGAAAGTTAACTGCGTAGTTTTTGCCCTGCCCAACACCGATGTCGCGAAGCTCACCGGTACCAGGGAAGTACTCGCCGTACTTGTGGAAAGAACAGGTCATGACGCGATCAGTCGTGTAGAAGGCCTCTTCAACGCCATCTCCGTGGTGAACATCGATATCGACATAAAGGACTCGTTGTTTGAAGCGCAGAAGCTCCAGGATTCCGAGAACGATATCTTCATGAATGTTAGCTTCTGAGACACACGTTTTGAGGACCGAAGAACTAGACCATTGACATAGCAGAAGCCACTTGCTTCGCTCTTCTTGGCATGGTGAAGACCACCAGCCCAGTTGACGGCAACATCACATTTGTTGCGGTTCAGTCGTGCGGCGCCTTCCATGCTGCCTCCAGCGCTGATTCCGCAGAACTCGAAAAGACCGTCGAACACTGGGCAATCGTCTCCAACATTGTATCGGCTCTGTTCCTTCGAGAAATGGTCCATGTTGTCAGGTGTGACCTTGGACAGGAAGTCGATATATTCGTCGGTGTGGAACTGGGTCATCTCGTACTTGGAGGCAGGTTTCGCACGCTGATTTGTTAGTGCAAGGATCAAACAGAGGGGGAAAAAGTAGAATGGTGCTCACGTAGATCTCCATTTTCTTATAGAGGCCATAGTTCATCACCAAGCTATGTGTCATGCGAATGCGATGAGGCTTCATGGGGTGGCCCGAGACATAGGCATAGTTGCCCACATCGGAGTCGTAGAAATAAGCGACTTTCTTATTCTTAGACCCGAGAAGCCTATCAGAGATAGGTTCCAAAGCCATATTGCAGAGAGCGACTGAGGGGTCACTAGGTCGAGAGTGGGAAAAAAGGTGAAGTTCAAGAGGTGTAAGTGAGATCCGGGGAAGGATGAACGTAGACGCAGGCGCAATGCAGATATACTCCCAGGAGGGAAATAGGCAGCAATGGCACCTATTGTCACCAGATCGCGCAATGCGAAGATTAGCTATTATAACTTAATCACAATAGCAAGCCAATGTCATTGTTCAGGCTATTGAAGAATAGAATAGATGGAGGAGAGAGAATCGCCCGCGAAGGAGCGGAAGCCAACCGAACCACACACCGCCTTCGTCAGGCAAAGCTCCCACGGCTTTGCTCATCATCACTTAACACGTCTTCGACAACCTTGCTATCTTCTCGCTAATATCTCGTCTATTGGGGATTTTCGCTATCTTGTATCTTTCTTTGAACGCTGCTCCTGCAATACCAAGCTACTAGAGACAAATCGATTCGGCCCGGAACTTCCAAATAGCGATAGCTTCGCCCTCTCTACTCTCGTTTCATCAAGTCTTGTCGGATATCTCTTAACTATGGATCGCCTCAACCGAATGCTCCAGGCCGCTCAAGGCATGGGGATGGGAGGCGCTGCTCCTGGTGGTGTAAGTTGGATAAGACTCTAATCCCCTTTGTTGGGAGGCATTAATGGCAAAACCCTAGCGTAGCTTCACCATGCTTCTCTACATTGACTAATGAGAGCCGTTGTTTAGGATACCCCAAACCTGATTGATAACTCCGAAACTGTCCACATCTCCTCCTTGGCTCTGCTGAAGATGCTACGACATGGTCGCGCAGGTGTCCCGATGGAAGTCATGGGCCTGATGCTGGGCGAGTTCGTTGATGAATACACAGTTCGGGTAGTGGACGTCTTTGCTATGCCACAGAGCGGTACTGGCGTCAGTGTTGAGGCAGTTGACGAAGTGTTCCAAAGTACTATGATGGAAATGCTTCAGCAGACAGGACGGTAAGCCCATCAGCTGATATGTAATAGAGGACGCCCCATGCTGATAGTTTCGTGCAGACCAGAAAGCGTGGTTGGTTGGTACCACTCGCATCCCGGTTTCGGCTGCTGGCTCTCCTCGGTCGATATCAACACCCAGCAAGCTTTTGAGCAGCTCACACCGCGTGCGGTTGCCGTTGTCGTCGATCCTATCCAGTCAGTGAAGGGAAAGGTCGTCATTGATGCCTTCCGTCTCATCCAGCCTCAGACGGTGGTCATGGGTCAGGAGCCCCGCCAGACTACATCAAACTTGGGTCATCTCAACAAGCCTTCGATCCAGGCTCTGATCCACGGTCTCAACCGTCACTATTACAGCATTGGGATTGATTACCGTAAGACGGGGTTGGAAGAGAACATGTTGATGAACCTTCACAAGCATGTATGGACCGAGGCCTTGGAGATGAGTGACTTCCACGAGGAAGGTCAGCTCAACGTGGAACGCATGAAGCAGCTTGTTCTGCTTGCAGGAGGCTACGAGAAGCGGATCAAGGAAGAGACGGAGATGAACAAGGATCAGCTGAAGACGAGATACGTCGGCAAGCTTGATCCTAAGAAGCGTACGTTTTTCCTTTCCTGTGGCAATAACCCAAGAAAACATAGGCTGACTCGTTACAGACATCGAGGACGTAAGTCAACAGTTGATTGAGGATAACATTGTCGCCGTCTCGCGGCAGATGATTGACAAGGAGGCTTCGGTGGCACGGCAATCATCCAAAGAAGACACAAACGTTGCTGCCATGGAAGTTGATGAAGATCTCTAAAGAGTTAGAAAAGTGTGTCAACCAAACCTCTTTAATTATTACTGATTGGTTGGGCCTTATGTTACCAAACCAGACCAACAGACGAATGAAATCTACTCAAATTTTGACATAAAAGTAACAAATTCATTGTCAACGAATGGCATTTGACCTATTGTTGGGTGAAAGTGCCTGTCTATAATTCTGTTTCTTGTGATCTAAGCGCCGCGCAATGTATATAAATCGTAACAATATGGACAATATCCACCGAACAGTGCTCTATCATGACTCCAACTTGACTGTCTGAAGCGAGTTGCTCAGGGCTTCGACAACATCAGGGGAGTAGGCCCGCAGGCCATCAAAGGCAGCATCCACGTCATTGAGCTCATGTTTCTCGTGAGTGTCATCTTGAGTGTCAGACCAGCCTCTATCAGGGCCCCAAAGAACCTTTTTCTGAGCACTCCGGGTTTCCGTAAGGAGGCGGGTCATCAAAGGTCCATTCTTCTCTACAGAGGGCCAGGCATCGAATTCTACCTGAACTAGACCAGGAAGACGTTCCAAGATTTGATGTAACAATTTGCCACAGAAGTTGGTATAGTAATCCTTGGAGATGCGAAAGCCCTCGAACACAGGGTGCGAAGGGTCACACTGCACAAACACTTTCAACGTGCGCACAAGCTCCA